CCAGTGCCTCCACGAACGAGAGCCAGGAGCAAACGCTGTAGAGAGCTGAAGAGATTTTTTTTCCCTATGTTCATTGCACTTTAGCTCCGACTCTACAGTGACTTCTGAAATCCTCTCAGCTAATTACAGGAGCTGAACAACACCTCCCCTCCTTCTGGTACATTTGCAGTTCCCCCACATTTGCTGCCCTCCCACCTTCCCCCCCACCCCGCAACTCTCAGCATCCTGATGCACTAAAGACTTCTCTTCATTCTATTTTCCACATGCTCTGAAACCAGTGTCCCTTCTACATTCCATAGGTTCCTTCATGATGGCTGTTCACTAAGGTGGGGTCATTTAAATACCTCCTTGGAACACTCACAATCTGAGCTGAGCATTGAACAAATACATGCTCCCACGCTGGTGAAGAGACCCACATCCCGGGCTACTGCCTTAACCAGCGAGTGACCAGAGGTAACAGTGGAACAGAGCACCCTCCTTGAGCCTGCCCACCCTGGTCTCACATCCCTGGGCCAAGAGAAGGGGTCTTGAGCTGCACCCAAACTTTCCCTTTAACGAGAGAGAAACATATCCTTTCCCAACCTGAGACCCACAGTTGGTTTGAAGATCATGTATGTTTACAAAGGGACACTCCCGTCCACTCTGATGCCAAAGTCCAAACCATGCCCTTGATGAGATGCCAACCTGTTGATAACCCATGTGTAGACCCACTGCCTTCATTTCTTTCTATGAATTATCAGGACCAAGGATTGCTCTTTTGCCAACCCAATCTTTCATCCTGGAATTCTATTTCAAGCACTTGGAAGACAGCTGCTGTAAGAATGGAGCAAAAATATTAATAACGGATGCATTTGGGGGAGAACAAGCGAAAACAGAGACAAAAAACGTGTAGCACTGCTTTCATATCAGTTCATCACCCAGGAAGAACCCATGGGGAGTGAATGATGCCGTGAATATCTTTGAGTTGGCATCTGGTCGTGGCAGAGTGGTGGGCTGGGTGGGAGGGAGCATAGACTTGGCAATCATCAGAGTCAGGCTCAACCCCTGCTCTGCCACGTGTTTGCCAAGTGACTGAGGGCACCTTGAGCTTCTAAGTCAGATTCCTTATCTGCCAGCTGGAAATAATAAATCACTTTTTTACAGGACCTTATGAAGATGAAATGAGGTAATGTAAATACCTGACACATACGTATTAGATAAATGACACCTTTTATTACTGAAAACATTATTTACCAAAACATCGTTTTCTAAAATATCCTCTTATCCGGACAATGGAATATTATTCGATGCTTTTTATAAAAGGAGCTATCATGACACGTACATGTACATTCCTAAGTGAAAGGAACCAACCGGGAAAGGCTACACACTGTATGATTCCAACTATATGATAGTCTAGAAAAGGCAAAATCATGGGGACAATAAAAAGATCAGTGGTTGCCAGGGATTGGGGGAAGGGCGGGATGATTAGGCAGAAAGCAGAGGATTTTTAGGGCAGTAGAACTCTTCTGGGTGATACTATAATGGTATACATGTCATTATACACTTGACCAAACCCACAAACTGTACAACACTGAGACTGAACCTTCATGTAAACTATAGACTCTAGGTGATCATGATGTGTCACTATAGGATCACCAGGTATAACAAACTTACCACTCAGGTGGGGGACCCTGATAGTGGGAGAGGCTATATGTGGGAAGGGACCAGGGGGACCTAAGAACCCTCTGTATTTCCTCTCAATTTTCTAGAACCCAAAGCTGCTCTCAAAAATAATGCCAACTTTAAAAAATCTTCTTAGAAGACGGGACGTAAAATCAAACATTATCATTAGAAAAAATATACATGAAAGAATTTTCTCAGGGAACTTAAATATAAGGAAATATTCTTAAGTGTCCATATCGATAAGTCTCATCACCTCTTTTTCAGGTGTGTGTGTGTGTGTGTGTGTGTGTGTGTGTGTGTGTGTGTACATGCATGCTGAGGCTTTAGGGTTTTGTCACCTCCAGACTCCTCCAGGCCAGTTTCCCTCCCTGGGTCCTCCACGTTGGCTTTGGAAGGAAGTCTTACTTCACTCTTTCGTTTGCCAACCACGTAACCTAATAGGCACAAACGCCAAGTCTTAACCCTCCTAGGCAGGCTGCACAAGGTCTTGATTGTCTCCTGGTAGAATCCTCAGGCCCAGGAGAGAGTCTGCTCTTCCTGCACTGTCCTATTCTATGAAACTTCTGCAGAACCAGGGCAGTCTGGTGCTAATCTTGATGTTTGAAACACAGAGTGGACATTCCTGATTTTTTCTTCTAAAGGTGCTCATCATAAGCCCTGACCTCCAGCTCAGTCTCCAATTACTGGGTTCTAAGGCCACTTTTTCATGATTACACGGACCCAACTTTTCTTTGCCTTGGTTGCTATATTTTTCTTTTCCAGCATAATGTCATTCTACCGAACAATGCACAGTACTGAGCTTTATTTTTATTTTGAATTTTGAAGTGAAAACTGAGAGTGAGAGGTAAGAATCCGAAAATGAACTTCTGGACATTCAGGAAAAAAAAAAAAAAAGAGGGAGTTCCCACCCAATCATTGACTGGAAGAACTGATAACATCTGGCATAAAACCCTGTTTTTATTGTTTGTTCTGAAGTTTGTGTGTAGGCCACTGAATATATGTACCCAACATGCATAAGCCCTGGGCTGGTGCTGAGCTAATGTTGGACTCTGGGTGATGATAATGTGTCAACACAGGTTTACTGTGTATAACAAACTTACCACTCAGTTAGGGGGTGTTGATAGCGACAGAAGTTTGCGTGTGGGGAGGGAATGAGTAGACATGTCTGGGTTAGTCCTGTAATTATCAGAGTAGCCCACACATTCCTGCCCTCATGTAACATCTCAAACGGACACCCATAGACACCCAATCCATATTTTGAGCATTTAATTGGATAGATATTTTTAATTAGGATATGCTACAGATTCAACTTCTCTGGTGGAAAATAATATGCAATTAGACTGTGGAAACTTTGAGTTATTTCACTCATATCTCCAGAGATTGATTAATTGACTACAAAAAAATTTAATCCTCCCCTCCAGACATTTCAAAAACTATTTGGGGCTCCTGGATACTTCCTGGATGCAACCCTCAATCAATAAAGCCATATTCTTTTAAAAGACCAATGACCGGGACCTTGTGAGAATTGGCAATTCTGTTTTGAAATGGCTCTTTTGTTTATGCTACACATTTTGAATAATGCATAGATTATGAAAAATCCTAGCACCGATGCAAGAAACCCATCCTGATTTCTTTCACTGAACCCATGTGGCATTTCGTCTTCTGGCACAAGCCCTATCTGGCTCATATTTACTCCAGCCTCCACATTGTAAGTCCTTCGGGTACAGAAACTGCCTTAATGTTCCCTTGATCCTTTATAGGCCTAGACCAGCTAGACTCATGGCCAGCCTTCTACAAATGTCAGTAACAGGAACTGATGCAGAGAATCAAATCAAATGCACAGAACAAACAGGGAGTAGATTCCTCTGCCACTCCCCTGTATATTTGGGGGGAAGGGCGCATTATTCTAGGGATCCTGTCCTCTTCTACCACTAATTGAGTTCTGTGCTGCAGACTCCACTCTGCCTTATGGTCAGACAGGTGTCCTTCCTCCCTGGCGGGATTAAAACTAGGAGGTGGGATGGAGTTTGGAATAAGTACAACAAAAACGTATATACCATCTCCATGACTAAGAGATGGAAACTACACACTAGTAAGGTATCTTTCTGGGCAATAAACGAAGACAGAACATAGCAAAAATACTTGTACGGCAGAATTACGTGGTGAGTTATTACTGCAGGCCATTTCTACTTTTCTAAAAGATTGCTTAAGGATTGTTCAACAAGTTCCCAAAAGGGAGTGGGGGAAGGGAGCTGAAATTTCTTCCAAAGCAAAAAAGGAAGGGAGGTGGCTTTAAATTCTCCATTAAATCCGGTTCAAAGTACACAACTTCATCCTTTAATAGGTATTAGTCATGGCCACTCTCTAAGGGCAGGGTGAAATTTTCTTGCCTGAAGGAAAAGGACTGGGCAGAAAAACAAAATATAATAAGTCAAAAAAAAAATCTTTCTTCTTTTGGAAAGGGAGGGACTTCAAAATCAAGACAGGCCAAAACGCCTCCTCCTCTTTCTTGAAAAGCCCTCCAAGTCAGAAGCAAGCCTAAGAATAACAGCTGCTCTTAGGATGCTCAAAGCTCCTTGCGGCTGATTATTTTTCAGGAGGAGAATTAGACAAAAATAATACAAGTGGGAAATAAAGAGAATGACCTACTTTAAGGGGGGGAAAAAGGAGCTCTGTGTGAGCGTTTTTGATCTAATTGACGGTGTGGTGTTGCATGCCCAAATAAGGCGCTGCTGGTCGGGTCTGCGACGGAGAGGGCAGGTCTGACCCTCGAGGGAGTGGGGGAGAAAGCCCGAGGAACCGCGTGGGGGACACCCCAGTGCACCGTTGGGTTGGCGCTCGGGGCAAAGACCCTTGGAGGCTCCTTCTGGCCGCAAAACCGAGTGTGACAGCAAAGGAGCAGCAGGGGCGCCTTCCTTTCCAGAGCCACTTGCCGGGGTGTGCAAGGGACCGAGGGACGTCTGGAAAAGCCTGCCGAGAGCCAGGCAACGCACCTCAGCGACGTCAGGGAAGAGGTGACCTCCCGGGGGAGGGGCAACTTCTCCCCTCCTTAGGGCATCCACCCAGGCCCCTGCCCGCGGTGAGCGCGCCATCGAGGGGACGGGGACCGCGAGTCTGGGAGGAGCCGGCCGACGTTCCGGACCTCGGCGGGGCACTCGGGCTCTCCTCTCCACCCCACTCCCCCGCGCAGGCCCGCAGACAGTCACACGGCGGCCCCCGGTTCCTGGGCACTGTTCACGCGCCTCTGCCACCGCTCCGTGTTTGCGGGAGCCTCGCTCAAAGCCTCCCTGTTTTCTCGCGCGCGCCTCTCTCCCTGGCTTCTCTTTTTCTTGGATTCTCGCCTGTCTCCTCCCACAGAGGAAAAAAAAAGGTCACGTATGTTTGGAAAAATATGTAGGTCAGTGGAACATTTCCTGCACTGGTGCAAAAGGAGAGGAGGACAGCGGAGGAGGGGAGGGAGAGGCAGAGCGGAGCTCGGAGTGCGCGCTCCTGGCCGCAGCCCCCGGCCCCCACGCGCCTCGGCCGCACAGGGGGGCAACCAGCCGGTTCCTCTCCATCCTTGACCCATTTTCCGGACCAGCTACGTTCGCCCGGGAAGAGGCTCCGCTTCTCCCTCCCCAGCAGTCGCTGCGGCCCTTCCGGAACAGCGCTCGCCCGAATACCCCCGACCCTCGACGCCCCCCTGCCGCTCGTCCCCCCCCTGCCGCTGCCCGAGAAAGCGCAGTGGCGCCCGCAGAGACGCGCCCCTGGAGGACAGCGTGGAGGGGGTGAAGATCGCGTGCCCGCCCCCCCCACGCACCGCCACGCGCGGGGTCTGCCCTGGGCAGGGGCGGGAGACTGTTTGCCACCCCCTAGCGACAACTTGAACGGGCGCTCGGGTGGCGGCCCGGC